TGTGTGTGTGTGTGTGTGTGTGTGTGTGTGTGTGTGTGTGTGTGTGTGTGGTGTTGGGGGTGAACCCGAAGCTTCGTGGATGCTAGACAAGTGCTCTATCACCAAGCTACATCCCCAGTCCCCATAGATCAGGTGTATTGGAGCAGGACAGCTCTTCTCAACTGATGAATAAAAGAGGTCAGTGTTTTTACTTCGATTTTTAAAAAAAATAATGCAGCAATTACTTCTTTAAATTTTCAGCCTTAAACAGATTGTTTACAAGCCACTAAATGGTTATTCAAGGATCAGATCAGATGAATCAGCTCATGTGTTAGTCACTGGGGAATTTATCACTCAGCAGATGCAACTGGCTAGTTGGGTGGTATTAGCTTTCTGTTACTATTACATAATACTTGTAATAATCAACTTAGAAAGAGAGAAAGCTAAGGGGGAAAGTGAATTGAAATGTGTTTAACGTGCATTTCAAATCTAATCTCAACCCATACCAATCCTTCCTTAAATGAATTACCAGAATAATCTTACCAAAAATCAACCTAATCATTTCATTGAGAGAAAGAAAGAGGGAGAGAGAGCGAGGAAAGGCTTATTCTGACTCATGGTTCCGGAGGCCTCAGGCCATGATATCATAATATGTTGGCCCCTTGCTTTGGACCTCTGGTGAGGCAGCATGTCATGGTGGAGCATGGGGTGGGGCAGAGCCTCTCACCTCATGACCAGGAAGGAGAAGGAAGGGGCCAGGTTTCTCTGTCGCCTTCAAGGGCATGCCCCCCAGTGACCTGGACACCTCCTGCTAGGTTCCACCTTGTGAGAGCTCCGCCACCTCCCAATGACACTGTGGGCCTCTGACAAGTGGCTGTTGGGGACCAGTCCAGACCCACACTGTATGGCAGGGGGCTGGCATACTGAGCAGTTTTCGTTCTTTAACCCTCATACATTCAGTCTAATTTACTGCATATAAAACTACTGCTCAAGGTGGGGAAGCAGAGGGAATGGAATGAGAGAAAATATTTGCAAGTCAATTATCTGCTAAAAGTTGAGCCTCCAGAGTACATGAGAAGGCCTGCAGCCCTACCACATGCAAGAGCAAGCCCCCCAGTGAGGGAAGGGCACAGGGCTCACACAGGAGGTACTCCTCCAAAAAAGATTCAAAACAGCCTAGGGAGATGCTAAACATCGCTCATCACCAAGGAAGTGCAAATCAAAGCCACAATGAGGCACCATGTCACACTAATCAGGATGTTTATTACAGAATAACAAAATTATAAGCATTGATGAGGGTGGCAAATTGGAACACTGAAAAAACTAGACTTATCATTAAAAAAAAAACATTAAAAAACATAGACTAATCATAATGAACCAGCAGTTCTACTTCTGGCCCTTTCCCCAAAAGTCAAAAGCAAGGACTCAAACAAATATTTAAATATATCTATACCAATGTTCACAGCAGTATTATTCACAGTAGTCAAAAGGTAGAAATATCCAAAATGTCCAAGGGCAAACACACACCTCAGCAAAGCATGGTGTAGACACACAAGGAATGGCAAACCCGTCTGTGGGCACAGGGCTGATCCCCAAGGCCTCACTGAGACACAAAAAGACTGGGACAGCACCCTTCCACCCCAGAGTGGGTGCAGGTCAGAGGCCCAGGGGCTCAAATGGCCTCTGGAGCCAGCCTCAGCAACTCAGGGAGACCCTGCCTCTAAATAAAACACACAACAGGGCTGGGGATGTGGCTCAGTGGTCCAGTGCTCCTGGGTTCAATCCCTGGTGACAAAAAAAAAAAAAAAAAACAACCTTTTTTTCTTTTCTTTTTAAAGAAAGGGTGCATATTTTGCTATTCTGGGTGGAGTTTTCTACATATAGCCAATATTTCAAGTTTGTTTTGATTTCTTGTTATTTTTGCATTATTTTGGGGGTTCCCACTTTCAAATGTATGGCATGATTTTTAACTTGTATTTCCCTACCCTTTTACCATTGCCCTTTACCATAATGGAATATCCTTCATCATCTCTAGTAATGTTCCTACTCTAAATTTGGCTGTTATGTCTGTTTCCAACTTGTTTTGTTCTTCAGTGCTAGTGATGGAACCCAGGGCCTGACACATGCTAGGGAGTGCTCTACTACTGAGCCACACCCCAGCCCTCATTCCCTTAGGTAGGAGTCCAGGGGCACCAAGATGGCGGAGGCAGGGCCTGAGAAGCCTGCCTGCCAGGAAGGGGGCCCAGGCCTGTAGTCCCAGCAGCTCAGGAGGCTGAGTCAAGAGGATGGTGAGTTCAAAGCCAACCTCAGCAACTTAGTGAGGACCTGAGCAACTCGGTGACACCCTGTCTCTAAATAAAATGTAAAAAAAGGGGATGTAGCTTGGTGGTTAAGTGCCCCTGGGTTCAAGCCCTGGTACTGGTTCCTTGCCCCCACCCCAAAAAAGGGAAAATTCTAGGCTACATGTATTTTATTGAAGTTAAAAAAGGAAGACGACTAAGGAAGACGTGGTTCACTTAGGTAGTTACTTTGTAAGAGTTAACGAGGAGAATTTTTAAAAATCATGTTTTAAGTTCCTGTCAAGACATTTTCCTCTAGATCCATACCCTGTGATCACAATTCTCACACAGCACATCAAACTGTCATTGGTTCTCTAAAAACGAATAATTGAAGAGAAAACAGAATTTTAAACAATCAGTCTGGTTTTTCACCTCTACTCACAATGTGTGATTTCTGAACAAAGGCAATGAAGAGCGGTTGAAATCTTCCCCATCTCTTCATTTAGAAACAAAAGAGAAATTTTATAAAAATAAACTGGGTCTTTTGTAGCCCCAAATTGCAAGCATTGGAAACAGCTGCTTGGTCTATTTTTGATGGCATAATGCAAGATACGCCTCCATTTAATTTTTTTTTCTCATTTCAACTAATTTTTAGCACTATGATACATGTGACTTGCTTTTTAAACACTCTGAACTGAGCAGACTTGGGATGACGAAAGCCCACTTAGGCTGCCTCCCCCACCCCCAGGCCTGCTCCCTGAGGCCGGCCTTCTCCTGCACTTCACTCCTGCGGATCCTCCATGAATCCACAGACGCAGTTAGGTGGCACTACTTTCCTTTGTCCCCATTTTGGTTGGTGCCTTGTAGTTGTATATCATGGTGGGGTTTGTTGTTATGCAAACGCACATGCACACAATCTAACCACACCACTGGGCCAGTGCGCTCCCCAGCCTTCTCCCCCCACACCACTCCTTTCCTCTACTCATCTCCCTTGGATTTTTCATGAGATCACCCTTCTTTCCCTTTTTCCTTCTCTAGCTTCCACATTTGAGAGAAAACATACAACCCCTGACCTTCTGATTTTGGCTTATTTCACTTAAAATAATAATGTTCTCCAGTTCCTTCCCTTTTCCTACAAATGACCTAATTTCAATTGTCTTTATGGCGAAATACGTCTCCATTGTGTATCTCTACCACTTTTCTTTGTCCGTCCATCTGTGGAAGGAAGCCCAGGCTGGCTCCATAGTTTGGCTGTTGTGAATTGTGCCACTACTTTTAGACTAAATAAATACCATCTAACAACGACTTGCTCAAAAAGATGACAATGTAAACCACATGATTGCCCTTGATTTTTATAGCTAATTTAGTTTTACTTATTCTATTTGTTAGTCTTTGTAACTTGAAATAGTGCAACTTTGGTTCCTGTACTGAATGCTTTGTAGGTTGTAGGGAATCAAACCTGGGGCCTGGTGCATAAGGACTGATTCTAAAATTTATTTGAAATGAAAGCATCTAGAATATCCAAAAGTATCTCGAAAAAGAGCAAAACATAAGCGG